ATCCCCAAATGACCTTGCATTTGTCTATATTGCATTTAATCTGCCATCTCAGCTTTCCTGTTCTGTCCAGACCCTCTGGAAGATGACAGACATCTTTGTGTGGCTGTAACCATTTACTTAACTGAGCCCAGAAACTGAGAAGCAATGTTATGTAGCCAGCTACGAAAGATAATTGCTGACATGATACTGCTCTTTTGCACACATCGTGTATGTAGATAGAACTACACTTTATACAACAAAGTGCCAATCAAATGCTATCTATTATAGTTTACATCTCACTGGATAAATGAAAATTAGTCTGTTATTGCCTGTAATGGTTTAGAGCAAAGCCAGTGGAAGGTGTGCTGTGTCTGTTTCTGCCCCTGCATGGACAGCTTTGGCATGCTGGAGAGTAGGAGCTCTTGTTCTTAATCCTCCCATATGTCCATAAACAGTACTTTTTTTCACAAAAGAGTTGCATTTATGCAAAGGTTTTATTAACACATCGTATATTATACTATACTATACCACATATGTATTTAAACTCTCTTGAGGTACATATGCAAAATCTATATATAGTAACATATATTACCAATACCATCTATTGTATATTTCTATCTATATAAGAGCCTTAAACAGCATATGAAGTGTTTAGACATGTGCGCCGGCAAAAAATTTGTTTCATTTCAGATTGTTCGTTATTTCGTGCTTGGGTCTGAAAGTCAATTCGTTTCGGTATTCGGATTTGTCAGAGTCCGAAGTTTTCGTTAATTTCAGATGTGTTAGATCAATACAAAAAAAGCATTTGTTGCAGCTAGGGCTGCAACCAACTAATCGATTAATTGATAATAATCGATAATGAGAATAGTTGTCAACAATTCTCATTATCGATTAGTTGGTTGGATCCCTTAGCTCTCTGCTCCATGCTGAGAGGAGGGCACAGCAAGCAGTGAGCGGGTTCAACAGCCAGCCTGCTATTGCAATTTGAAATAGCCAATAGCAGGCTGGCTATTGCACCAGCCCACTACCTGCTGTATTTACATTCAGCTGCCGTCTGTGGAATCTTGACGCTGACAGCTGTCATTCCCTGGGTGTAGCTATTCAAACGCCATGTGCTTACAATACAATTATTTTTAAAAAATTATATAAAAGGTGGGAAAAAAATGTCATTTTCTGTTTCAGCCTGACAAATTCTGCCGCGGGAGGTGCATTGCAGTGCCATTCCTTTCAATGGCACCTGAAACGGGCCTACCACCCACAGTGTAGTCGCCCGCAAAGGAACACATGGTGCCGCAATGCTGTGCTCTCCAGTGCAGTGCGATCGAAAAAAAATTGTGCTTGCAGTTTTATTCTGAAGTAAACTTTATGTTTGTTACACTGCATTTGTGTATTTCATTTTAAATTAAGGACGGTATTTATTAAATTTTTTCATCCAATTAATCAAAAAAATAATTGGCCAACTAATTGATTTTGAAGTCCCCCCTAAAATCTCTTAACAGACCCTTGATCCAAGCAGAAGACTTGCAAGACAGGAAAGGGGGTGGGGGGGAACGAGCATGCCCCTCCTGCACCATACCAGGCCATATGCCCTCAACATGGTGTAGGGTGCCCCTCCCACTGCTCTGTTCTCTGCACAGGCTATGTGCAGTACAGTTATTATGTTAATTCTACTTTTACCAGGAAATAACTGGTTTGTAAAGGCATTTAGTGCTCATAAAGTGGTTGAATAGCCTTTGTGGCTATTGAGGAATATATTTAAATAATTTTTTTGTGTCTGCTGTTCAGTTTTAACTTTCTTATATAGTCTTTATTTCCTTAATAATACCCATACCCTGTTATGTGTATAAGATTAGCTCAAGTACTACCTTAAGTACCATTTAGAGCCCCTGTCAGGCTGTTATTACTGCTTGGGCTCTGGTTGAAAATATTTTCACCTCACTTCCTGTCCTGATGGATGTCAGAGAGACAGGAACTTGGAGAAATATTCCCAAGCAGGGCTCAAGCATCATGTCACTGTTGAACCTGGGAACACGGACTTCAATAATAACATTGCAGAAAGTCTAACCTTTCCCCACACTCTTTACATAGAAAAGGTTATGACTTGATGTGTACTTTATTGTTCTTTTATTATTTTGTTGTTGAACCCCATATGCAATGACTTGTTGGGGGGGGTTCATCCTGATTTTCTCTCTATCTCTAGTTTCACTTAAACCCTTACTGAATAACATTCATTTTGCCCTGTTTGCAATGTGTCATAAACAACTGTTTTCATATTTTTCATCATTTGCTGCATCTCATTTCTGGTGATCTCCTGCATACATTTCCCATCTACTTACATTCCAGTGATGGCTGCTTGGCATTTCTCAGAATGTGTTTTCCTGATGGTGGCAATTGTGGACTATGGCTGAATTAAGTGTGCTTAGAAGGCCACTTGTACTCTCGATGGGAAGCCCAATTGATAGGGTGACAATCAGATGCACTATTGGGAGATAGATGCAGAGTGTTCTCGCCCTATAACTGGAAGTACCTGAACAAGGACCCCCATGGCAGGATCACTAGGTATGATTTTCATTAAATCTCTAGAATTAAAAAGAATATTGAAAAATATTACCTGAACATTTTACAATGTACATGATACTTTAGTGATTAGGTTTGCCTATACTTTAACTACCCCTCTCTCTGGCAGTACATGTTTGCCCTTTGCTATCCCTTTTGATCTGCCTGAGGTAAAGAAAGAAAGCCATATATAAGCTTACAAGTTGGAGCTTACACAGGGCTGAGGTCTCTCCCCGCCCCCAGGAGACAACAATGGGCCAATCACTAATCACCATTGCTGTCACATGGGAGGATGGAGAATAAGTCACATGCTTCATCATACCTGAAAGTACTGAGGCGTGTTAAGTTCCTTAGCCAAGTGCTGAGTAGTTGTTCTGCGGCACTTCAGTTCGCTGCAGCAGCTTCGCTGAACACTTTGGCTGCACAGTGCTAAGCAAAATGGCGGAGGATAATATTTTTGACTAATAAATACCATTAAATAATAAATAAGCACCAAAACATTAAATTGTAGGTTCCCACAACCTGAACTGATTTCCTCCATTGGGGTTTAGGCACCTTTCTCCAGTGCTGCCAGGTGTGCCCAAAGTTAAAATGGCAGCTGGTGCTCTGCCCCACCTTCTCCTTCACACTCAGCAGCCTTCATCCACATTCACTTCCACTACGAGTGCTAAGTTAGCAGTGCTGAGCACTGACTTGCAGCACAGCATTCAGTGGCAGTTTGCTAACTCAAAACTCACAGCGGCTGAGCAACTGAACACGCCTCTGCATGTTTATTTGCTTCAGGCAGGCAAACAGGTTGTAAAAGGAAGGTGAGTATGTGCTACTGGAGGAGGAGGGGGGTGTTAAAGTGTACGTTACAACCAAAAAGTTTCTTTGTTATAGATAGAATGAGAAAATGTGAAAAATACTGTCGGGTTTTATTTCTGTTCTGCAGGGAAGATTCACTCTTTTATATGGCCAAGGTTACTATTGTCACTGGTGCAGAAAGTGATAGAGGTTGGCGGTGTCACAGGAACATGAGGTGAGAGGAGATCTTACTTCAGTGAAGACAACTGTCCAAGGGGGACTCACCCTTGCTTTGGAGACATGTTCACTTACTTCCTGATGTGTCACTGTAACAAGAAGTGAAGAGTAATCTCCCTGACAATACATAGACAGCGAGATAAAAAGCTGACAGGTGTTCTACCCATTTCCTACTCTATCCGAAACTAAAAAAAGAAAGCTTGGGCTTTACATACTGTACACATTATGTGAATTTGTTACTGCACCCTGCATAGGAAAGGAAAAACAGGTTCACTTTATTCACACTTCATCGTTTTAGCACAGACCTTAAAAAAATCCTGCTAGGTGTAACTTCCAGAAAAATGCACATTGCATAGGGGTTAAAGGTAACACAAATTTAAACATGCCTAGAACCGTATAAACACATGCACCTAAAATGCAGCTTTAAAGCAGACCTTTACCCCCTTTCTCTAAACATCACCTCAGCATGCAGCTCTGCCTGTTGATCATCTTACATTCATTAGTTAAAGTAACATATTTTTCTTTTACTTACAATTATTGTTTTTCTACTTCCTGGTTTTCTTGGGCATTGCTGGGAAATATCGTCCATAATCTCACGAGATCTCAGGGAAAGGCATTTTCCTCCCCCGAGTTGATGTGCAAGGTCACATGTCCTACTCACGTGTCTGTTTGTAGATTGTCATTACTAAACATTTCTAAAGGTGTATTTGTTGTAATTTCAAAGTTATGGGTAAAGTTCCTTTTTAAGCTCTCCGAGTAATGGAGCAGGTTGCATTATTGGCACCTTGGCCACAGTAAACACACACAGCAGCAAGTGATGGAAATGCAAGTGATCTGCAAAATGCGTCATCGTAAAACTATTGTAAGAGTGTGACGAGTCCCGTCGGGACAAGGCTGCTCTAGTCATCTACTGTGACGGCCGCTCTGCGTTCCACGGTGGAACGCGGAAGCCGCTTGACTTCCTGATTGTGAGGCAAGCGGCCTGCGTTCCACGGTGGAACGCGGAAGCTGTTCGTTCCGGACGGCAGCTCCTCCCACATCCTCGGGCTATTTAAAGCCCCAGCTGAGGCAGCATGGCGTTCCACAATTGGAGTCAGAATGCCTGCTGCCTCCTGAACCAAGCCTGCCTGGCCCCCAACACTGCCTGTGACGGACCACCTCTCCCTCAGCCTTAGGATCTGCAACAGAGCTGCTCCACAACAACTCCAACCGCAAGTATAGCTCCAGTTGGAGCATTATATTGACTGCCAGCTCTTCCGCATATATGTGCCAAAGGCTGTGTTACTTCACCTGCATCTATGCTCCGGGGAATAACTGCTTGCTAACCCATATAACTGTGGACACCACTCCTTGCAAACGTTAACAAGTTCATCCTTGACTTTAGTTGTTACTATGAGAAGTCTGCTATGAAGTAAATAGCGCTGCCTCAATATTTTTGTTACTCACGGCTGTGATGCTAGAGTCTCAAACTCCCCGCCAAGACGGGAGTGACGCCTGAGACTCAAGCCTGAGAAGCCGTCTATATACACCAGATTATTTCCCTCCGCAGTTGCGATCCACTCCGTTGCACCTACAGCAAGCGTGACAAAGAGTATCCATTAAGATGCAGGAAAAGCACTTGTTCTTGGACTATCAGAATCAGATGTAAAAGAGATTTCATTTTAGAAGAGAGTTGAGATTGTCAAGATTTTAGACATCAAAAATGTGTCTTTGAACAAGGTTCTATTGGAGGATTCTGACAAATCACTTACCATAAAGCTGAACTCCAGAGAGTTGGCTCTCGAGATAGCTGGTTCTAAGGAGACAGAGCCAGTTGTCAATAAGGTAGCTGGGTGGATCCGGACAATATTGTGGGGAACTTTCCTGGCTGCAGTGCGGCTCTATGCTGTCAGCATATAAGTGGGCAGTAGCTCGCTATTTGCTGAGTTTGGGGTCACAGGAGTAGATTAGTAAAGGCTTGGCCATAGTTTTCTTTTACACGCTAAGTTTATCTTTTTGACCATGTTTCATGTTGTATATACCCATATTTAGGGTGTAACATGAAACATGGTCAGATCGCAAACTCCCCACCCCTTTCCTGCACCCCAACTTACTTGAATGGTGGGTTTCGTCTCCCGGCAAACTTGTATACAATTTTTAATTCAGTGCGGCTGTGTAGGCAAATCCTTTAACAGAATCTGTGAATAGAGAAATTACAAATCCCATCAGCCACTACAGCAGAGAGACTTATAGTTCTCAATAAAATACAAGTGTGGTGACACCACCTTACTTGTAGTCCATTGACACTTCCTCCCATTCATGCTACTGAGCGTCAATACCTCGGTACAGACATGGAGAGGAAGAAGAGTCTGCATCCACAATCTACTGATCAAAGTTGCAATGCCTTACAGGCTTCTATGCAAAAAAATTATGAATGCACATGTTTACTGTATCTTTTATGCAGATGTATGCATTTATTTTTTTTCAAAAGCTGGAATTTCTCTTTAAACTATTTCTAAAAGCATGCACAACTGCATAATATTGTGTTTTTAATAGTTTAGCTAGCTTTTATTTTTTAGTAGAAACAGCTATTATGTCAAGAATTTTCTTGGTTTTTCTTTCTTTATCCCTGCTGAATGGGTATTTCCTTGAACTGAAGCCTTTCAATCTTGAGCAACCGATTCCCTCTCATTTAAGTTACAGTCCCTGTTATTCTGTTTCTGGAGACACCAAATTGTATCTATAAATCATCTCAAACACTGAACAATATGCCAACTTAGCTGGCAAGGGACCACATTGGGTATCTAGCACTCAGAGTTACTTTTCTGTATAATATTACTGTATAATCATTGTTTGCTGGTTTGCTGTGAGATTATGTTCCCGCCAATTCAATCACACACAAGTAAGACAAGATGTCCTCCACTTTATTGCTTCACATGATTAGGCACATACATAAACAGCAAAGTGGCACTGGCATAAACTTCATCATGGATTGTCCATTTAATGCATTGTTAAGCTGATGCAGCAAGTAACTCCAAGACATAGTAGCATATTATAGAGGCTCTATGCCCATAGTCAGTTGAGGCTTAATAGACCCAATCCAACATTAACTGCCCTTGACCTATAAGGGTTTTTTGACCTAAAGAATATAACAAACACATTCTGATTTGTACAAGACCTCTGCTTACAGTCCATGGCTTTAAGTGCTTCACATGAACCCCTTGATACACCCAACATTAGCCCAGAATGATGGAGACATTAAGGGTCAGACAAACCTGTAAGACTAGTGCATTGTACAATAATTTACTATTAGAAAACATATAATGCACAGTAATACATTTTTTCTTTGGGGGTAAATTTTAAAAAGAGCAGCCTGGACTTACATGGGTTATAAAAACATAAGGCACAATTTCCAGTTTGTACACTGTCTTAGCAATCTAAAAACTTCCCACTCATTCTTGTCCAAAGCATACTGGTTCAAGCTGATGAAATGTTTGTTAGTTCAACAGGTAATTTGAACCTTATTTAATAATGGATTTAATGATCACTAAGTGCATACATCCCAGTAACTGGAAAGTGAGACTGCGATTTTGTTTGGATACGTTTGTCGGAAAACCATCTCTGGTTGTGCTAAACCACTAGGTAGCCCACAACATTGCTTTCCAGACAAAATCCAGTCTGTTGGGATTAAATGGCATATACTATTAATATCAGATTTTTTAACTCATTCTTTAAACAAAACACAGTTGTCTGATGGCAATACCTGTTTACAGGTTGTTCATCATCCAACCGTACAAAGTGTGACCATACAGGGGCCAATTTTTATAAGTGATGCATCCAACTCAAGCGTTGCATGTAGCAACCAGGAGAGGATCAGGCTGTAAAGAAGCTTCCTAGGCACAAATAATGAGTGCTTCCCATCACTGAAATTGCTCCTTGTCACATAAAGAGATGTTAAAAATAAAGAAATTCTGTGTGAGTAAGGCACCATACTGAACCCCACAAAACCCATTTACCTAGGCTGAGACTGGACAACCACATCAAAGAGTGAGGTCAACTAGAGCCCATATTCAACATATCTGTGGCTGGCATTAAGTATATTAAACTAGTATTAAAAAATGGTAATGCCCTTAGGCTTGAACAGGTACCAGGTTTACTTAAAATTATGTACACAGCAATCTAAACCGTAAATTCAAAAAGACCAAAAAAAATTACCCCTACCCTCCCACCTATTTAAACCGGACCATAATATTTAAAACCATTACAATATGGACATAAGATATTATCACGCTTCCTGTTGCGTTACGTATATCAACTATCAAAAATGATAGACATTGACCAAGGCCTGTTATAAAGGTAAAGAGCCTGAATCTTGAATTGGTTGAACAAGTCCTCCAGATCTTATCTGGCTTGATCACTTTGAGCGACCTTAATCCTTTGTCTAGTTCGGGTTTAAAACCCAAGTCCTCATATTAGCTGCTGAAGTTCTGCATAGTTCTATATAGCATGAGGTACAAATCCAATGTCCCTTCATTTCCTCTTCACATTAAGTTCAGGTTTTGTGGCTGGATCTTCTTTTTCATTGTGTAAGCATCTTCATTTTAAAAAGCTACAATCCGCATGTTTCATCAAGGCACATGATCTCTGATGATTGGGTAGCTAAAAGTTATTGTTTTTTAGTTCAGTTGGAAAGTGGCATGTTTTAAATTCCATTAGAAGGTGCAGAGATGTGGATCAATGAATCTGGAGATGATTCTTTCACAGTATGTCCGCCAGGTGTGTGTCTTTCATGCTGACCCCACATCCAAGTCATGGAGAGGCAGCTGGATGTACCATTGAAGTGGTCAGGTGTTCACATAGAGATCTATGTGATTGGCGTATCTTTGGCAGAGCTCCAGATGTATGATAGACATAGGAATGTATGACATTTGTATGTCAGTGTGCAGAATATGTTCATGCTTTATACGCACTTTGCATGTGAGCAAGAGTTCCGTGGCGCTGGGACGTGTGGTAGGATTGTGGTGATTTGCGGGTCTGGATGCTTATTTTAGTTTCTTCTGCTATAAAAATAAAGCAAAACATTAGACTGTAAAATAAAACCATATTTCCTGTTTACAGAAAAGTAATAAGTCACATAATGAAATAATGAAGCAATGCACAGTATGTAGTTTGCACTTGTGTCAATGGGGAATGTGCAATTATGGTGGTTTTGGTTGCTTGAAAAGGTTTAATGCACGTTAAATGGTTTCCAAGGGATATGGAAACTCTTTTCAACTATCTCTTGCTTGTTATTGTGCTAAAAAAATTACCCCTCACTCTTCATTATTTTAAATTTTTTTGCACATAAAGCAAACAACAGACAGTGAAAAATAAAGGTAAAAATACAAATTTAAAATGACACAATAAATTGTGTGAATATTCACTTTAATTTCCAATCATGTGAAAAGTTAATTCCTGTTCACTTTGAATACCCATTCAGGTATAGATGAATTAAGTATACATTCATTTTCTTTTCACGTGACTGGATAAATTAAAAGAGAACTATGGGGTAAGGGTTTTTTTCTCACGGGAGGACATTTACTAACCTCCTTCCGTGACCCAAAGCTCAGTATAGCTAATGAGAGAAAGCATTTGTCAATAAATGAACTCTTAATTGCTGTTATCATCGTTTGGTGTGCTGGTGACATTTATCAACTATCTACATGTGGTGGCGCCATTTGCAGCCATTTCGAGCACCCGCTTGCCTATCTACATGGGAATCCTGGTAAGGAGACCAGCAGGGTTCCTTTAATAAGTCAGCTGCCTTTCAACGGTAAAGGTAGGAAATGGTAATATAGTTTTTTTTTGGGCCATTTAAATATGCATAAACCGCCACATTGAGTTTACATAGGTAGTCTCCAATCATTTGGCTCTCCTCTCAGCTGCCTTTGTAGTCAGCCAACAGATGAGCAGTGCTTTCGTAAAGACTTTCTGTATCTTTTATTTATTATTATTTTTATTTATTTAATAACTTACACATCAGGCCTTGCATTAAAGTGCAGGGGGCAGGCGCACGATTTTGCATTGTCTGTCAAAAGTTAAAAACTTTTCTATATTCTGTAACAGTTCTCTGCTACTTTGTTGACATTTGTAATGTTCCCGAATTTCAACAAAGAACAGTGAACTACCACAGAATAACACACAGCTCTCCGCTCCTTTGTTCCATTCCGAATGACATTCTGGAAACATTTTGGATGCATCCGAATTTCGTAATTAAAAATATTGACAGGGTAATTCAGAAAAGGGTGAAGAGTTTGGAGAAGGCAGGAGAAGTGAACAATCTAGGACAACGTAGCTGCACTGGAAAGTGAGCCGAGTTGGATAATTTTTCCAAATCAGCTTTTTTGGCCTAGATTGTTCACTTCTCTTGCCTTCTCCAAACTCTTCCCCCTTTTGTGAATAACCCTGTAAGATTTGTTTGGATTAGTTATTTCTGTCATTCAGAAATTCGGATGCTTCCAAATATCCAAAACTACAGAAATTCGTATGAATGCCAATTCGGAATGAAACAAATCGTACGCCTACTACATACCTATCCTGCAGGTAAATAAAGCTGATGAACCATTTTAACTGCACCCCTCTATGCCATGCTGGCACGTTCGCTTTTTCAGTTGTGACTACTTCATAACCAGTTAACCTTTCACTGAAAATAGCAATGTGCATCTGTAGGTGGGGCAAAACTTATTTTGGGTAATCTGTGCTCCCTTAGATAGCTATAAATCAGACATTATTATCATATTTGAAAGAAAACACTGAAGAATGTGGACATGGATCGTATAAAAACTGATTATAATAATAAAATAAACATTCAATTCTGTAAAATCTTTTTGCTGTTAATGTGGAACCATTTGATGGCTGTTAGTGCTTACCTTCTCGTGCTGTCTGCATGCCTTTAAATGCTAGTGATGCTGTGATATCACAGTTGTGCGGAGACAATGCGGTGCTTCCTGTGTGCTGCCATCCATGTCCTGTTACATACCCAGTTGGTGCTGCTGTGCCGTAGGCCATGTATGGAGAGACTGGTGCAGAAGTGGGGTATGGAGTCATGCCCGAAGCTGCCACAAAGCTACCAACAGTTGGTAAACCACTCGCTGTCTACAAAACAGATAAACTTTATGTTGCAAATATACAAAGAATATAGCTAATGCAATCTGTTGAAATAAGCATACAATTCAGAGCTACCACAAGAATGCTGTACTGTTGCCAAAAGTTGCCTGATTTTTAAAACTGGTCAGCAGTCTCATAAAAATCTTCTTTTTTGCATGTTAGCATCTGTTCTAATCCTTCAAAAACTTCTGACTGTTCAATGATACCATAGATTTCTGAAATTGTATCTATTGAAAAAGTTGATTTTTTTGTTTTGGCTAGAACAGGGGAAGGTTAGAGCCCCCGCCATGTTTTGTTATGGGTTTTTATTAGCTAGGGAGAGTCACCTTCTCTATTTGTCCTGGTGACCACTGCCACCAAGTGTGAAGGTAATGGGTAATCCAAAATGTTTCAGTTGTAACCAGAAATGAAGATCGTCTAATTGTAACAAACTGTTCTGCTGAAATATGGAGACATTACTTCTTATTTCCTGTTGTGTCTCCAGGGCCTACAATGAAGGGAAATCTTCCCAATGGGACACATATGGAAAAAGAAAACTTGAAAGGGATTTTTCCCATGTCCTACTCTACCTAAGCTAAAATAAATGTTCTGGCTTTAGTTACTATTTAAGAAACAGTATTTAAGGGTTATGTATAACCAAAACGTTTTTTCTTAAGTTTTGAAAAAAAAAGCATAGAATGGTTCAAGGCCACTGTCAGTTTTTGGGGGGTTTTATTGCTCTGTTCCATTGGGGAGATTTCCCTCCACTCCCTGTCCTAAAGACACAACAAAAATGAAAGAAAATATTTCCAAAGTAAGGGAAATCCCTTCTTAGATAGTTGTCACCAGAACAAATATCCCCATTGAAAGATTTCCCCTCTATTGCTGTTCCAGTGACAACTGTAAAATGGATTTCCCATTAGTTTCTGTCCTGGTGACCATGGTCATCATGACAAATAGAGATGGCAAGTCTCTCCAGCAAAGACATATACAGCAGTAAAAAATTACAGAGGTTGTCAACCTTTTTCCAATCTATCCAAAATAAACAACAAAAACCAAAAGTAACTTCAGACTTTAGGTATACTTTGATATTTAAACATGTATTACAATTTAAAAGCATATTATACTGGTACATATAGGGACTCATTACCCTACAAGAAGTACTGTTCCAAAACATTGGCTCAGCAGCCCCTAGGAAGGTTATTTAAATGGCATAAATAAATACTAAATTCTAAATGAGGTGTTTCATCGGGTTGTTTCCAAGAAAAAACATGTCACACTACTACTACTCTCCTTGTGCAGGGTGACTGGTCTTGTATCTGCCCCTCCTGTAGTTTTCTGCAGGGAGACTGTAGTGGGTGGGACCTGCTGGGTCCCTCCCACAGCTCTGTTCTCTGCACATGTTATGTACAGTACAGTGATGATGCCACTACTACCTTTTATATGGTAATATTTTGGGTTTGCAAAGGCATTTGGTGGACAGAAAGTGGATTTGTTTATCCTCTGTGGCTATAAAGGAATATATTTAAATGAAAAGTGTTGTGCCTCGAGTTCAGCTTTAAATGCCCTAAAGTGGAATAAAAAAGAATACACAGCCTAAGACAGAACCTGCACACTTGGCAGCAGCTTGTGGACACAGCGGTACTATATGGAGAAGCAGTGGTACATGGAAGATGTTCACCTGCAAGAGCTCTGAGTACAGGTCCCTCTGTAAGCTCAGTTTTGAACTGTCTTTCTTACAAAAGATGAAGGCCTTCCTCCTGCCCCATGTGGATGGGGAGAAGGTCACATGTTCCCTATACACATAGGTACGGGTATTTCCAAGGGCTACAAAAAGCAGTAGGGGAACTTTGACTTTGGGATTTAGTATTCACATACCTGATACGTTGTTATTAGGAGACTTTGACAATTATATTTTAGGGAGTTGTACTAATTACGTAAATGTGTGTTGTAATGTGTAAATGATAGTGCTAGGAAAAATGACTATAATTTAAAATAAAATTATTAGATTATCATATTAAAGCATATATAAGATGCATAATAGGTCAGGACAAACTAAAAAAGTGCAAAGTTTAATTATCCTCAAAATGAAACAAAATCTATCTGACAACCAGCTACTCTTTCTCTCCTCACCACTAGGTCATCCTGAAGCGACAGCACTCCCTCTGTTTGGGGGGCACAATTTTCTGTTCTTGCCTCAGTGCAAAAGGAGCTAGCTACGGCTCTGTATTTGTGTTTGTGACTACTGTTAATGGGACCAAAATTGAGGGAAAATCCAATATTTTATGGAATTTTACCAGACAAGGAAGTAAGGGTAAATCTTTCAATGAGGATATCTGTTATTGGAACCACTGTGTATGAAAGTATTCCCCCTCACTTTGAAGAGATTTTCTTTAACTTCCTGTTGTGTCTCCAGGACGGAAAGTAAAGAGAAAGAGCTGTAAGACGACAAACAAACGAAAACCTGACTGGGGTTTCAACCATTTATTCCTAATTATATATAATACAAAATATTTAGACTTTGTATATACTTTAAAGAGAATCTGCCCATTTAGGCCACCCTCATTACCCACAAATACCTTCACCACACACACCCCTCCCCCATTTGCAGGAACCCTGAGTCTAATCACTGTGTAAGCTCTGCATTGGTTAATGACACCCCCTTCCCCCAGGTAACAGCATTCAGCCTTAGCAATTGGTCAACCAAAGGCATTGTGAAGGGCACATGCTCACCCATACCTTTAAGTGCCAGACATTTCTGAGGGCTACAGACAAATGGAGTGACGAGAGCAGAGCAAATGTGAGTAGCAGTGGGTGGGTGGCTTCGCCATGAATGGGCATAGTAACAGGGTCTCTTTAGGAGAGGTATGTACAATACAGTAATGGCTCCATGGCATGTCTCCGTGCACATTTCCCCATGTGTACCATGCCCAAGTAATGTGCATCAGCACGGTACTAGTAGTGTCCATTGTGAGAAAATGTGACAGGGTGACAATGTATTTTAGTAAAGTGTTGTCATGTTATAACAGGAAGTGCCTACACAGGGGCCTGCATGACAGGATCGCCAGGTATTATTTTAATATAAGTTAGAGGTTTTTTTTTAAACAAAATAGAAATTACTTTAACATGTCAATGCTTTTTGGGATTTTAGTGCTAGGCTATACTGTACATCTACTTTAATGCCACATCCCATCCCATTGTATAGGCCCGGCATATAGACAGCTGCATAGAGAGTTTGTGTGATAGATTAGTCATAGATAATACTTGCACTGACTGGCACCTTTAAGCCAAGTGATCCAACCAGGATTTGAAGTAATTTGGTGTGAGGAGTTGTTTAGAAGAAAACAGCACATACTTTAAGGGTCTCAATGTCTTTCACGTGATTGTGAGTCAAAAAACAATTCACAGCTTGTTGACTAGAAGCCTAGATTCCCATCCTGAGTAACCCACAAACAAAGCCAATGTTTGCAATGTAATTTTGACCTTAAGATTTCACACAAAGGATCCTTTAAACTTGAGCCACAGAGATCAGCTCATTCTGTTTGTATAGACATCATTTGAATGATATGAAGTAAACAGGAGGACATTTAGAGAGCCCCAAATTCACCTTTTTAGTGGCAGGTGAATTAACTTTTCAATAGTGGAATCCTTCTGCCTTCTCTGGTTTCAGGAAGAGAGGTGAGCTGTTTGTGAGAGGCATTAAAGGCTATGTCATTTTATTTGATCTTTGTGGAAAGGTTCCTCATGATGTGATCTTTTACAAAGTGCTGGACTAGAATTAAAAAGTTCTCTTGTCATACAGTGAATACCAGCCCTCTGCTAGCTGAATGCTGGGAGCCACATGTGGCCCTGTAGTGTCTGCTCTGTATCTCCCTTAAGGTACCCCTAAGTGCTCTGCATATTACCGGGAGTATCTGCTGGCAAAAGTCAGATTGTCAATACTAGGTAGTGCTTTATAGGCCTCTAAGTAGTATTTATATTAGTACATTTTCTGGTGTGCTTTATTCATTGTCTTAGACAGTCACTGCTGGCAATAACCGAAACTGAGACTTTTAATTTTGCAGTTAAAAATCTGAATATTTTGCAAGTTGAAGTTAAGGGTGTAATGGACTCTAAATGGCTCCTGTAGGTTACAGATGCTCCCTTTAGCTACCCTGCATCTGTTCTTGTGCCAAAAAATTGCCAAAGTGATATAAAATACAAAATGTAAAGCTACAGTACACAAAACCAATATTTACATAAAAAAGGGAAAAATACAAATAACTTGAAATAAACAAAACACAATACACAAAAACCCGCATGCTCTAAATAAAAGCAAAAAGGTTGATTTTTTTTTTCTCAAGCAAATGTCATCTAAGACACTCAATAAGTGAAATAGAAAGTTTCCACTGCAGCAGAATTAGTAAATTTTCTGCAAAATCAATTTTACTAAAATGACTCCATCCATCCCTAATCAATGCACCAGTACATTAGCATTCAGTGCCAAGAGCTTAGCATTGTAGAATGTGGGATGCAAACAAATGTAAATGCAATGTAAACATCCATATCCTTGGGTTTTACCTATCTCTAACAGTTACATTTTCCTACCCCTTCTCTACTAATTAACCTAACTCTAAATAATAACACCTAAGCTACTCCCTAACAGTTAAAGCTAAAATGCAATCTGCTTATCTTTTGTGTTCCCTAGTTCTTCCCTTATCCCTTAATGATAATTTATTAAATAAAACCTTTCCCTTTTTAATTGCATATATTATCTGTGCTCCTCTATGCAAGGCTGGTGGGAAGGTACAAAAGGTTGCTGTACATAGCGTCCTGAAAACATCACGGCACCCTGCTTTAGTACTCCTTTCAAGAGCCCATGGTCCTGATGCAAGCAGTAGGCTGGCACTTGGGAGGAGTTATGCAAATATCAAAATGCCTTAGTAGGGAGGTGTCAGTCTAGATGAGTGAGTTTTCCTAGGTGGGCCGCATTTGCATGCAAACTGCCCTAGGTAACGCCTGCATATGAT